CATTAATGGGTACAACAAGGACTGGTCGGCTCGGAGTCAGTATAATGTGTCTGAGTGGGGTATTCATGCTTCACTGCGGCATGGTATCTCAGTGGGCTAGCACTATAAAACCAGCTTCAGTCTGGGCTAGTACAAGCAGCCGCACATACACATACACACTCATGCACGTCGTCATATGAGCGAAATATTCTCGAGCACGACGTAAAACCCAATTTCACCTCACCTCTCCCTCCCACATTGTGAACACCACACTGTGCGTCTCTCAACGTCCTGTCAGAGCTCTCTTCATCCCATACTATCAATAGCTCTCGTTCTCTCTCTCTTACTCTATTCGCTCTCATCTCTCTGCGTCTTTCAACTATCTCGTCCCTTCTCTGCCTTTTCCTTTCCTTTCCCGTTCCGCTCGTCCACCTTCCTCTATTCTCTCTGACTCTTGTCCCTCATTCTTCACCCCACCACCATCCTACAAACCGCATCATTTCCCCCTCTGTTATCTGGGATATGTTCATTTTTTCTTACCTTCTTATATCCACGGGTTTTACATCATGAGTTTAAAGGTTTAACCGTCATGAATGTATAACATGTTTTTGTTCTGCCGATGTGACTAAAAATCTTAACTCACTCATTCAGTCGCTTTTTCCTTTCTTTCCGCTATGTTTTATTTAAACATGATATTTATTCAAGAGAATGGATTGGGTACAAGTTGTGCCAACTTAGTTAAACACTCTCTTTCTGTTATTTCTCTCTGTGTGTCTCTCTCTCTGTGCCCCTCACTTTCTCTCTGTCTGTCTCTCACTCGTCTCTCTCTCTCTCTCTCTCTGTCTCTCTCTCTCTCCCACTCTTTCTGTCTCTCTCACTGTCTCTCTCTGTGCCCCTCACTTTCTCTCACTGTCTCCCTCTCTCTGTCTGTCTCTCTCCCACTCTTTCTGTCTCTCTCGCTGTCTCTCTCTGTGCCCCTCACTTTCTCTCTGTCTGTCTCTCTCTCCCACTCTTTCTGTCTCTCTCACTGTCTCTCTCTCACTCTCTCTGTGTCTCCCTCAGCCTCTTTCTCTGTCTCTCTCTCTCTGTCTGTCTCTCTCTCCCACTCGTTATGTCTCTCTCACTGTCTCCCTTTCACTCTCTCTGTGTCTCTCTCAACCTCTTTCTCTGTCTCTCTCTCACTCTCTCTTTCTGTTTGTTTTTCTTTCTCACTCCCTCTGACTCTCTGTCTCTCTCTCTCTCTCTCACTCTCTCTTTCTCTCCCTTTATCTATCTCTCTCTCTCTCTCACTGACTCTCTCCATCTTCGTGGTTGTCTGTCTCACCTTGGCGTTCAAACAATTTCATATACTGACACCTGAATGTGACAAATATCATTGCCAACCATACATACATCCATATAAATGTATGATAAAACCCTCCCGCATGTATTCAACGCACGCCATTCATGTCAATCCTGGCTATAAGCGTTATAGTTATTCGCATTCAACTGACAAGCTGGGACAACATCCAAACTGAATATATAATGTTTGTTTCCCGAGATCTAACCTGCTTGTTAATGTAAATTGGTCTAGCGTCAATATTAGCTTGCAGTGCCTCGGAAGCCATTAAGTTCACATCGAAACAACGATATGGTTTAACAGTTAATATACAGGAAGGTTTATTTGTTTTGATATTGCCTATCGTGGTAGCACGTGGTCCTGTGCTCAAAGCTCAGGTCACAAATCGGTGAAGTTAAGCAGCGTCGAGTTCGGAGAGTCCTTGGGTGACCGTGTGTGTGGCAGCTTGACTCCTGAGAGTTTCTAGGACTTGAGTTCTGCCCAACAACGAAGCACATGTGACACATGTGGTCTCACCTTAGGCAAGTGAGTTTGTTCAAAATTGTCTCTGTTCACCCAGCGGGAAAATGGGTACCCGGTGGAAAAAAGTCATATGACTATAACCTTCTAGCGCCTAACAGGCAGCTTGGGTTATCCGGGGTAATAATGTGCTGTGCCTTGATTGTTAGCGCTATGAGCATACCTAGTGTGGAGTTTGGCACTATATAAATAGACACATTATTATTATTATTATTATTATTATTATTATTATTATTATTATTATTATTATTATTATCTGTACAGGCAGCATGTGAAGTTTTTGTGTAGTCAGATGCAGCGTTTCGTGTTATTATCTAATTATATATCTTCACTGGCGTTATTATTTGGTCAGTATATCCATCCTTCCATGCATCAAATTACTGATATATCATTCGTGTGATTTCGGGACAATCCTATCGAATGTGGGCTTCGGTAAAAAGCGAATGGTCGGTCACGAATAGACCTGCCCGTATATTAACTGCTAAACCATACCGTTGTATCGACGTGAACATAATATATTTATGTACTACGCTGAAAATAATCCGGCTTATTGCAAGTAAATGAGTATGGTTTTACGCCGCTTTTAGCAATATTCCAGCAACATCACGGCAGGGGACACCAGAAATGGGCTTCACACTTTTAGCGCATATAAGAAATAGAACCCGGGTTTTCGGCGTGACGAGAGGGCGCTTTAACCTCAAGGCTACCCCACCGCGATCTTAGTGCTAAGGTGAGCGTAACTCATACCTTAAAATAGACTTACGACAGTCTTAACGCTAAGATTGTTTTGTACAATGGGACCCTGGGCCTAGATTTTCGAAGCTCTCTTACCGCTAAGATAGTCGTATGTTCATATTAATGCATGGCACTTACGACTATCTTAGCGCTAAGAGAGCTTCGAAAATCTAGGCCCTGGTCTCTACCTCTACATTCACCTCTCACGTGGTATGCTCTCACGACAACGGTTCCTGTAATGAACGCTGACACGTGATGACCGACAACCACACTCCAATCACTTACATCCGCTCCATACATGCTGACCACATCATCTCCACGTGTTTGAACCAATTTGGAGGTTCCGGCGTATATCAACCGGCAACGTTTGTACGCGGCGTCAGTTCCTGGGGATGGACACCCACGCCCCCACCGTCGACTGTAGACCCATCAAAGCTCAGCTTCTTGTACTCCTTCCAGTAAAGGGTTGAACTTAATGGTTACTGTTACGTGCTATGCCGTTCACAATATAAAAGGGAAGATAATTATACAGTATTTCCTTTCACTTGAAAAAATAATTATCAGTGTGTTGATGTTTTGCTGTGAAAATCACCGGGGGCTATACTGGTTGTCATCAAACACTAAACCGTTGTCACTCGTATCATTCCGGGACTAGCCGAGCTTTTGCAGGTCACGGAAGCGACGAGTGATCATGAATGAAAGACACTGAGAGACACATTCGTCTCCACTCGTCTATTTCCGTCAAATGAAAATAGCGGCAGTTCGGCTTGTCACGGAATAACACGAGTTGGTCACGAATACGAGAGCTACCACAGCTCCCATCAAACTATCAGTCAGCATCATTCGTTTAATTCCGAGAGTAGCCAATCTCTTTCGGGATACGGAAAGGGGCGAGTTGTTTGTCACGAATGAAAGGCATCGTGAGCTTGAACACCTTTCATTAAAATACTAGTATTATTCAGTTCGATTCGTTTAATTCGGGACCAGCCGATCTCTTGTGGGTTACTGAAAGAGCCGAGTGGTACGAATGAATGGCATCAACATCTCTAGAAGCTTTCATTAAATTATCATTCGTTACACGTCGCTACAATTCATATTATCCCGGGACAAGCTGATCTCTTGCGGGATGCGAAGAGAGGCGAGTTGTCACAAATGCATTTCTGAAGAATATGGAAACGTCATCTACACGGCGACAAGAATCGACTACAGCTGAATTCGTCGCCACGCTGACAGCTTGTTGCACTACTTTTGTGAACGGTCTATCACGATACCGCGTGCATGGTCTATCATGGGGCCCAGATCGGGAGATTAAAGGGTCTGTAGTTAATAACGGGATTAAAAAGCATCAAATCTAGTGGCTTGGCTACGTTGTTTGTCACGAATAACTCGTTTATAACTCTCGAGAAACATATTGACAGGTCTTTTCTGTTTTCAAGAGGAGCAAGAAACTGAAAAACACCAACTCGAAAATTCACACTGCATCCGACCAAAAAATGCGTTATTCCGGTAAGAAAGGCGGAAAAACCTAAAGACATGCCTGTATAAGAGGTTGTATATGGGGAAACCCATCCGCAGCTTGTAGCGCATGTCAACAACGAGGGGGCGTTGGTAGCAATGGCGTCTGATGCGCCGAAATTCACAGAGTTGCGTCCCTTGAATTGTGGGTTCGAATCCATGTGCTTTGATTTGGTTTATAGCTTTGTTGGAACTATTACCGTACTCATGGGTTTAATCGAAGTGGTAATAGTCAAAGGAAGACACTATTTTTGTGAAGCAAATTGGTTTTCTTATTAAGGTCAGACACGTCAGAAACGTTGGTTCCGGTTTGTACGGTTGTGTCAAACTGTAGGGCCTACATTTGTTTCGAAGAAACGCTGGTTCCGGTTTGTACGGTTGTGTCGAACTGTGATGTGTAGGGCCTACATTTGTCTCGAAGAAACGTTGGATCCGGTTTGTACGGTTGTGTCGAACTGTGATGTGTAGGGCCTACATTTGTCTCGAAGAAACGTTGGTTCGGTTTGTACGGTTGTGTCGAACGGTGATGTGTAGGGCCTACATTTGTCTCGAAGAAACGTTGGTTCCGGTTTTGTACGGTTGTGTCGAACTGTGATGTGTAGGGCCTACATTTGTCTCGAAGAAACGCTGTTTTCGGTTTTGTACGGTTATGTCGAACTGTGATGTGTAGGACCTACATTCGTCTCGAAGAAACGTTGGTTCCGGTTTGTACGGTTGTATCGAACTGTGATGTGTAGGGCCTACATTTGTCTCGAAGAAACGTTGGTTCCGGTTTGTACGGTTGTATCGAACTGTGATGTGTAGGGCCTACATTTGTCTCGAAGAAACGTTGGTTCCGGTTTGTACGGTTGTGTCGAACTGTGATGTGTAGGGCCTACATTTGTCTCGAAGAAACGTTGGTTCCGGTTTGTACGGTTGTGTCGAACTGTGATGTGTAGGGCCTACATTTGTCTCGAAGAAACGTTGGTTCCGGTGTGTTCGGTTGTGTCGAACTTTTGATAACTCGAGCTCTTTATATAGGTTTCTTCACCATGGACACAACTGTATGTGACTGTATCTGCCTGGTCATGTACACAGGAATTTCCGCTGAGCACAAATTATTGTACATGTCCTCTGATATTTTATTTCAATTTCATCCATGAAGCGGCTTTTGTACCACTTGGATTGTGTCTGACATAATATGACGTTATCAGTATTGAATTGCCTGACTCCCGTCGTTACATTTTAGAGACAAAATATACATTTATACACTGTGTATGTAGTCCAAACTGTATTGATTCTGTTAATCGAGTGTGTAAATTGAGGAAGGCGCGGGGGGTCGTGATGTAATCCAGTTAATAACGTGTCTTCAATTATCAAACACTATCAGTGGTATGTTTCTCTCGAGGGTAATACAGTCTGATGTAGCCTGTTTGTAGCAGTGTCACCGGTAGGCGAGGGATGACACTGCTACAAAGAGGCGTACATCAGACCGTATTACTCGAGGGGGAGGTTTACAGCGTATTTATCATACCGCCATGTTAAATGTACAAAATATCATTTTATTTTATTTTGAAGATCGATAAGCTCGCTACCGACTATATGACATGTTACATAGCGAACTGACGGATATAGCGAACACGTTTATAGCGAACTGACGGATATAACGAACACGTTTATAGCGAACTGACGGATATAGCGAACATGTTTATAGCGAACTGACGGATATAACGAAAACGCTTATAGCGAACTGACGGATATAACGAACACGTTATAATGAACTGACTGATATAATGAACACGTTTATAACGAACTGACGGATATAACGAACACGTTATAATGAACTGACGGATATAATGAACACGTTTATAGCGAACTGACGGATATAACTAACATGTTTATAACGAACTGACGGATATAACTAACACGTTTATAGCGAACTGACGGATATAGCAAACACACGTATAACGAACTGACGGATATAATGAACACGTTTATAGCGAACTGACGGATATAACGAACACGTTATAACGAACTGACGATATAACGAACACGTTTATAACGAACTGACGGATATAACGAACACGTTTATAGCGAACTGACGGATATAACGAAATATTATGATGAACTGATGGATATAACGAACACGTTTATAGCGAACTGACGGATATAACGAACACGTTATAACGAACTGACGATATAACGAACACGTTTATAACGAACTGACGGATATAACGAACACGTTTATAGCGAACTGACGGATATAACGAACACGTTTATAACGAACTGACGGATATAATGAACACGTTTATAGCGAACTGACGGATATAACGATCACGTTTATAACGAACTGACGGATATAACGAACACGTTTTAATGAACTGACGGATATAACGAACACGTTTATAGCGAACTGACGGATATAACGAACACGTTTATAGCGAACTGACGGATATAACGATCACGTTTATAGCGAACTGACGGATATAACGAACACATACATTTATAACGAACTGTGGTTCTATGTATCCTCTATCAACGACAATGCTCATAGTTTTAAGCAACTTTTAATCTCGGAGCTCCTCATAGGTCAATAATCAGCCTATCAATACTCTCGGGCCACGCTCGGCTATTGAAAGCTGCATTGAACAATTGAGTTAGTGAGTCATTTTAGTTTTACGCGCTTTAAGCAATATGCCCGGGGGACACCAGAATGGGCTTCACACATTGTACCCATGTTGGGTATCGAACCCGGGTCTTTGGCGTGACTGGCGAACGGTTTAACCACTGAGTTACCTTGAACGGTGTCCTCCCATTTGTGAGAACTCCCAGTTGTGAGACGCTTTAATTAATGGTTGAGTGTACATAGGTGGTGCTTCAACATCCCTACAATGAAAGTGAGAGGAGCGCAGCCACAGTAGGCATTGGCAATCGAGATTATAAGACAAAAGGTCCTCGGTAAAAAAAGTCCTTTTGTAGTAAAAACTGATTTAGTTATTTATCTTACCTTCATGTAAAATATTTTAATTTCATTGGTCAATGACGCTTTAACAAGTTTCCGTGTCACCCTTCCCAGGAGGGTGACAGCTGGAAAAAAATATTACCCGCTGCCACGGTAACCGCTGAACTTTCCGATGAGAAGCTGAATCGCTAACAATCGTATGACATCATTTTTTATGACGCATGCAGTGCCCGGAGTTCGAAACCGTTTGATTAGTTCACTATGTACACATTTATTTTACTTTCACTGCTTTACTTAAACTATTTTATGCATTGAATCGTTTGCACGCTTAACTTAAACATAATTAACCATTTCTATAGCAGGTAAGCTTTCAAGAATATGTTTCACTGATTTTAAAAATCTAGTCGAGAGGCAGGCGCCATTTTGTTAACATGTCATATAGTCGGTAGCGAGCTTATCGATCTTCAAAATAAAATAAAATGATATTTTGTACATTTAACATGGCGGTATGATAAATACGCTGTAAACCTCCCCCCTCGAGTAATACGGTCTGATGTACGCCTCTTTGTAGCAGTGTCATCCCTCGCCTACCGGTGACACTGCTACAAACAGGCTACATCAGACTGTATTACCCTCGAGAGAAACATACCACTGATAGTGTTTGATAATTGAAGACACGTTATTAACTGGATTACATCACGACCCCCCGCGCCTTCCTCAATTTACACACTCGATTAACAGAATCAATACAGTTTGGACTACATACACAGTGTATAAATGTATATTTTTTGTCTCTAAAATGTAACGACGGGAGTCAGGCAATTCAATACTGATAACGTCATATTATGTCAGACACAATCCAAGTGGTACAAAAGCCGCTTCATGGATGAAATTGAAATAAAATATCAGAGGACATGTACAATAATTTGTGCTCAGCGGAAATTCCTGTGTACATGACCAGGCAGATACAGTCACATACAGTTGTGTCCATGGTGAAGAAACCTATATAAAGAGCTCGAGTTATCAAAAGTTCGACACAACCGAACACACCGGAACCAACGTTTCTTCGAGACAAATGTAGGCCCTACACATCACAGTTCGACACAACCGTACAAACCGGAACCAACGTTTCTTCGAGACAAATGTTGTGCATAGTATGGACCCACAGACGCTTCCCATGTCCTCCCTGCTGCCTTAAGGATCATCTGAATTGCAAGAATATAGTTTAATGAGTGAGTGAGTGAGTTTAGTTTTACGCCGCACTCTGCAATATCCCATTTATATGGCGGCGGTCTGTAAATATTCGAGTCTGGACCAGGCAATCCAATGATCAACATCATGAGTATCGATCTACTCAATTGTGGCCCGATAGCATATGTCAACCAAGTCAGCGAGCCTGACCGCCCGATCCCGTCGGTCGCCTCTTACAACAAACATGGGTTACTGAAGATCAATTCTAACCCGGGTCTTCATGGGTCAGATTATCGATGAACTTTGATTCAAAGGACAAAGGAAACTGTATATTTCCAAATTGAATTCTGGCAAACCATACGACATATGTATCAATGATACGAGTCTGCTGATAAAATCGAAGCTCTGCGCATTTAGGGTATGAAACAAGATTTAATACTCATCTAAAACACATCGATATCTAGTAATCATTCCCTGCTTGTTTCATTCCAGCCACCAGCAGATGTATACTTTCTTATCCCGGTTGAATTTAAAGGATTAGTCATGTTTTCAATTTAGCTGACATGGCAATTTTTAATAAGTAAAAACAAGGCAATTTTGCGTGCACCGATTTTTCAGTCTAAAAGGAATAAATGATTAACTCTGTCGCAGGCTCAAGACAGTAACGAGGAAGCGATCTGAAGTATGGCAGCTATGTCGGGACACAATGTATGGGATTATAACCCTTAATGCAACAGTGCGTCAGGATCATTACGGGGTCGTATTTACGGCAGCCCAGTGCCGCCATCAAACACGCTGAGCTAGCAAATTATGATATATGACTCCAAAAATTTCCCAGCCAAACTGGGGCGAGCATTCTTCATTTTAAAATAGACTCTTAGACTTGTATCCGATTTCTTTCTAACAGGATTATCATGACTGGACCGGCCTTCCGTATAATCGCCTGATCGAACCTGGTTGTGGTGAGAAAGGTTGAACGGCGTGTGGTGTTTTTGTGAGGGATTGTGTGTTGTGTTCAATTGTAGTTTGGCGCCTGCCTATCAATACAGATTTCTTGTTTTCTTGTCCGTTTTATAGCTCAATTATGGATGCTGAAAATACACGGCTGGCCTTGTGTGGGCGTGGCAGTTACAGCACACTACGTTTATAACGAACTGACGGATATAACGTGCACGTTTATTACGAACTGACGGATATAACGTACACTTGTATAACGGACTGGCGGATATAACGAACACGTTATAACGAACTGACGGAGATAACGTGCACGTTTATAACGAACTGACGGAGATAACGAACACGTTTATAGCGAACTGACGGATATAACGTACACTTGTATAACGGACTGGCGGATATAACGAACACGTTATAACGAACTGACTGAGATAACAAACATGTTATAACGAACTGACGGAGATAACGCACACGTTTATAACGAATGGACGGATGTAACGGACATGTTTATAACGAACTGACGGATGTAACGGACACGTTTATAACGAACTGACGGAGATAACGGAAACGTTTATAATGAACTGACGGAGATAACGCACACGTTTATATCGAGCTGACGGATGTAACGGACACGTTTATAGCGAACTGACGGATATAACGATCACGTTTATAACGAACTGACGGATATAACGAACACGTTTTAATGAACTGACGGATATAACGAACACGTTCAGTTCGTTATACGTGTGTTTGCTATATCCGTCAGTTCGCTATAAACGTGTTAGTTATATCCGTCAGTTCGCTATAAACATGTTAGTTATATCCGTCAGTTCGCTATAAACGTGTTCATTATATCCGTCAGTTCATTATAACGTGTTCGTTATATCCGTCAGTTCGCTATAAACGTGTTCATTATATCCGTCAGTTCGCTATAAACATGTTAGTTATATCCGTCAGTTCGCTATAAACGTGTTCATTATATCCGTCAGTTCATTATAACGTGTTCGTTATATCCGTCAGTTCGCTATAAACGTGTTCGTTATATCCGTCAGTTCGCTATAAACATGTTAGTTATATCCGTCAGTTCGTTATAACGTGTTCGGTATATCCGTCAGTTCGCTATAAACGTGTTCATTATATCCGTGAATTCGTTATAAACATGTCCGTTACATCCGTCAGCTCGATATAAACGTGTGCGTTATCTCCGTCAGTTCATTATAAACGTTTCCGTTATCTCCGTCAGTTCGTTATAAACGTGTCCGTTACATCCGTCAGTTCGTTATAAACATGTCCGTTACATCCGTCCATTCGTTATAAACGTGTGCGTTATCTCCGTCAGTTCGTTATAACATGTTTGTTATCTCAGTCAGTTCGTTATAACGTGTTCGTTATATCCGCCAGTCCGTTATACAAGTGTACGTTATATCCGTCAGTTCGCTATAAACGTGTTCGTTATCTCCGTCAGTTCGTTATAAACGTGCACGTTATCTCCGTCAGTTTGTTATAAACGTGTGCGTTATCTCCGTCAGTTCGTTATAACATGTTTGTTATCTCAGTCAGTTCGTTATAACGTGTTCGTTATATCCGCCAGTCCGTTATACAAGTGTACGTTATATCCGTCAGTTCGTTATAAACGTGCACGTTATCTCCGTCAGTTCGTTATAACATGTTTGTTATCTCCGTCAGTTCGTTATAACGTGTTCGTTATATCCGCCAGTCCGTTATACAAGTGTACGTTATATCCGTCAGTTCGTAATAAACGTGCACGTTATATCCGTCAGTTCGTTATAAACGTAGTGTGCTGTAACTGCCACGCCCACACAAGGCCAGCCGTGTATTTTCAGCATCCATAATTGAGCTATAAAACGGACAAGAAAACAAGAAATCTGTATTGATAGGCAGGCGCCAAACTACAATTGAACACAACACACAATCCCTCACAAAAACACCACACGCCGTTCAACCTTTCTCACCACAACCAGGTTCGATCAGGCGATTATACGGAAGGCCGGTCCAGTCATGATAATCCTGTTAGAAAGAAATCGGATACAAGTCTAAGAGTCTATTTTAAAATGAAGAATGCTCGCCCCAGTTTGGCTGGGAAATTTTTGGAGTCATATATCATAATTTGCTAGCTCAGCGTGTTTGATGGCGGCACTGGGCTGCCGTAAATACGACCCCGTAATGATCCTGACGCACTGTTGCATTAAGGGTTATAATCCCATACATTGTGTCCCGACATAGCTGCCATACTTCAGATCGCTTCCTCGTTACTGTCTTGAGCCTGCGACAGAGTTAATCATTTATTCCTTTAGACTGAAAAATCGGTGCACGCAAAATTGCCTTGTTTTTACTATTAAAAATTGCCATGTCAGCTAAATTGAAAACATGACTAATCCTTAAATTCAACCGGGATAAGAAAGTATACATCTGCTGGTGGCTGGAATGAAACAAGCAGGGAATGATTACTAGATATCGATGTGTTTTAGATGAGTATTAAATCTTGTTTCATACCCTAAATGCGCAGAGCTTCGATTTTATCAGCAGACTCGTATCATTGATACATATGTCGTATGGTTTGCCAGAATTCAATTTGGAAATATACAGTTTCCTTTGTCCTTTGAATCAAAGTTCATCGATAATCTGACCCATGAAGATCCGGGTTAGAATTGATCTTCAGTAACCCATGTTTGTTATAAGAGGCGACCAACGGGATCGGGTTGTCAGGCTGGCTGACTTGGTTGACACATGCCATCGGTCAACAATTGAGTAGATCGATACTCATGATGTTGATCACTGGATTGCCTGGTCCAGACTCGAATATTTACAGACCGCCGCCATATAACTGGGATATTGCTGAGTACGGCGTAAAACTAAACTCACTCACTCACTCATTAAACTATATTCTTGCAATTCAGATGATCTTAAGGCAGCAGGGAGGACATGGGAAGCGTCTGTGGGTCCATACTATGCACAACAGCTGTAGAAAACATACTCAAGAACAGACAGTGCCATAAGTCCGTTTGTCAGAGACGAATAAACATTCAGACAGACAGGGCCATTTGTTTCGCATAAACTCGGACGAATTGTATTGTAGCCAGCAGTGTTGTTGTATGGCCGGTGTTGTTCGCACGTTTTAATGCAAAATGTGAGTAAGATTGTATGGCGCTTTTGACAATATTCCATCCATTTCTGATACCCCAGATGAGCTAGACATCTTTAACCATGTGGGGAATCGAACCCGGTTTTTCGGGGTGACAAGGCTTTAACCAATAGATGGGAAAGCCACAATAACTCGATGCGCCTTGTGGCAGCAAGAGTTGTACTGTCCCCAGGGAGCTGAGATTGATAATAAAATGTGCCGTTGAGATTGGCATCAAATGATCGAGAGAAAAGAACAGCGCCTTGAGCATGCACTAGTGCGTGGATGTGTGCGCTATATAAATATTCAATAAGAATAAGAATAAAAATAAATAATATGTTACCCCACCTGGTTGATTATGAGTCGTGGTGCTCATGACGTCAACCACTGGGTTTCATAGTCCTCTCTTGCCTTCAGACAACTCAGTGAGTGAGTATGGTTTTACGTCGCTATTAGCATAATTCTAGCAATATCACTTCGGGGGACACCAGAAATGGGCGTCTCACATTATACCCATGTGGGGAATCGAACCCGGGTCTTGAGCGTGACGAGCGGACGCTTTAACCATTGGGCTAACCCACCGCCCCTCAGACTACTCTCACTGTGTGAAACGGCATCCTCCCCTTAAGCCCACAATTCATCACTTATACACCGCAATTTGCCGACTGCCAAATCGTGAACTGAATAACCCCCAGAGATCACTTAATCTCGACCGTGTGCTTAATTTGATGTTCACTTAAGAGCGAATCAACATCGAACGAACATTGCATTAAATACACATCTTAACTTGAATGAATGCATCACGCAATGCTTGATGGATGTATTTATATGTGATTATCAAATTGCAACGCTTTTGTGGCTCATCCACAGAGTTAATTACAATGAAAACCGTTTCTGACAGTTACACATGTCAATGTTTTCTGACAAATGCAAGATAATTTGTAATAATAAATTAACAAAGTATTTTAAAGGTACGATTCAGAATAGGACGTAAAAACAAATGGATTAAATCACATTACGGCTTCAGTAACAGTAAACACAACTCAGTGATGTCAGTTTCATGACTTGGAGCCAGGTTCAATCCCTTTCCTTTGTTATTGTAATCTCCATTCAGTTTAATCACCCAACATTTTTTTTTTTAATCGTAGTCTTCCATTTAGTTTTACAAATGCAAGGTATTATTTTAAAATGTATAAATACATATTCTCCAGAAAAGGAAATGAAACGTAAATGGTTGAATACAAAGTGTTACTTAAACAGTAGATACAAACGTACTAGCATCAGCCACATTCGGTCAGCTTGACACAGGCTATCAAAAAACATTTTTCTTCTTTGAGAGGCATTTAAAAGTTGGGGCACTAAGGAAGGATAAAAAAGTGGATGAACAACTTCTTTATTGCTGTGAGAGCGACGTTTCGGTGTAGGTTCTAACACAGTTGTCAAGCAAGTGAAGCAAGTTATCATCCTTCGCTTGATAACGGCGTTAGGACGTACACTGAAAACTTTCTCTCACAGCAATAAAGAAGTTGTTCATCCATATATACTGATCCTTCCTTACAATATTTTTTCAGTGAGACTTGCATCGATTTTTTTATGTTGGCCACAAAATAGAGTTTTTATCCTTATTTCAAGTCAATAAACCCCACGATTTATGGAAGAACAACTTTATAACAATTGGGAGCGATGTTTCGGTGTAGTTTCTAATACCGTCATCAATCAAGTGGTGTACAGAGTGGATGGCGATGGCATTGAGTTCAACGTGGGAATCAATTGGACCTATTTCGCTTGCGGGATGCTGAGAGTACGGTTAGGAGGCACATTATAAGGATGAGGATGTACTTTTAACAGTTTAATATACTAAGGTGTAGTTGCAATTGAGCGAAAAGTTTGCAAAATGCATAACATGTGCGATCCCGTTCTTGAAAGGCATTTAGAAATTGGACGAACATGAATGCAAGACGTTTAATTGATAACATTCTTTTAATTTCTTATCACGACGGTTCAGGGGTAATTCTTGCTGTTTCATCATTCACCTGATGAAGGAGTGAGTGAGTGAGTTTAGTTTTACGCCGCACTCAGCAATAGTCCAGCTATATGGCGGCGGTCTGTAAAGAATCGAGTCTGGACCAGACAATCCAGTGATCAACAGCACGAACGTCGATCTACTCAATTGGGATACGATGACATGTGTCAACCCAGTCAGCGAGCCTGACCACCCGATCCCGTTAGTCGCCTCTTACGACAAGCATGGGTTACTGAAGATCAATTCTAACACGGATCTTCACGGGTGACCTGAATGTCGTTTATAAGAATAAAATGGAATTGATATCCATAACCATGAGATGTCTTCATGTGCGATCTCATGTGAGCCATGTAATAACCTGTATTAAAAGCAAACGTAGAAATTATGATTGATTGGAATCTTTGGTTATTTGATGGTAAGCTGGAGGCAAGCAAAAGCCTTTATCAGGATGATGAAGGAAGAATGGAGAAACACCAGAACCACGACTGACTGGAATCCGGTGGTGTGTGGTCCTTTGCATAGAGTTCAGATCACAGGTCAGTTGAAGTTAAGCAACGTTGGGCGCGGAGAGTTTTTGGATGGGTGGCCGTGTTTGGCAGACTCCTGAGAGTTTCTAGAACTTCAGTCCTGCCCCACAACGAAGCATATGGAGACATACATTTATATTTTACTGAATGTTTTAAAATGTCTCTGTATGTTTTATATAACATGTCACACACAAATAAAAATATTTTCTTCTTCTTCTTCTTCATATGGTCTCACCATAGACAAGTGAGTTTGTTCAAACCTGCCTCTGTTCACCCAGCGCGGTGGGATAAACGGCCATGAGACTATTAACCTTCTCACGGACAGCTTGGGTTCTACGGGTAATACTTGCCAGATTGTAGCGTTTTGAGTCTACACATCCGTGGTGCGGAATTTATTGCATTACAAATGCCCTTATTATTATGCCCCTTATTATTAGTATATTTGATGTGTTCATGGTGAGCAATAGCCTTTTCTCAGGATTGATAAAGGAAGAAAAGAGGAAGACAAGGATTATGACTAACTAGAATCTTTGATGAGTTGATGGCAAACTGGACTTTTCCTATAACCTTGACCTGGATTGATGAATAAGTCACTTATCGTTATTTATTTCTTTGTTATTTATCGCAACAATCAATAATATTCCATCTGCATAACTGCGGTATTTCAGTAATTGAGTTTGGACCAGACAATCTAGTGATGGACACCATGTCGATCGATCTGGGCAGCTGGGATACGATGACATGCATCAATCCCAGACCAATTCCAACCCGGATCTTGACAGAGGCTAATCACTGTTTACTTGTCGACAAAGAATCGCAGACTAACAGGTCGGGTCTGATTACAAGGCTTAATTGGATCTGGACACACAAGGTATGATTATAATCAGACATTGAGTCGGAAGGGGCTAGTCACCGAATACGGACACACATGGATACAATATATTGGTGGCATGTGTTGACCTTTCATTATTTGCAATTCCAGCTGGATGGTTTATTGAGCTGTTCTCGCTGTTTTGGAAGCTCTTGTATGTACCAAGGTGCGCAGCACACTGATAACATTTACATATCAATCATATATCAACATTTATCTATTGTATTTGATATTTCGAGGGCCTTGGTAACTGAATATTTGGAGTCATTATCACTGGGCATTTACACTAATATTCCATTGTTTTATCTTTTATAAAATAACCATACTGATGTTATATTGTCGCAAATAATTGATGATGACGCCATTCACTGTTGTGACGTCGTGATTATACATATGACGTCAATTTCATCAATAGAGTAAATGAGCTGCATCCAGTTCAGGGTGCCGTTGTACAAAGCGACATTAGCGCGAAGGTGACCATAACTACCATACCTTAACACAGACGTAAGATAATCTTAGCACTAAGATTGTTTTGTGCAACGGCACCCTGGTCAGGGAACCAACATGGGAACAGGGAACAAACCAACACACAAAATGGAAGGCACTGGGTGCAATTTGTAATTCCTAATGATATAAATTATTCTCTCAGCTCGAGAGGACTGCCCGTCATGCAAGTGTTTTTGTGATCACTTCATTCTTGTAACACTAAATGTTTTCGTATCATTTTAATCTTCGATGTTGAAACGATGACTCGGTGTTATAAAAAGTCTAGATCTTGGGATGTTGGTGACGGAATGTTAAGATGGGGATGCTTGGATGGTGGATGTTGAAGAGGGAAGGAGGGTTACATGAAGGCTGAATGTGTACCAGCTTGGATGACAGATGTTCAGGAACATCTAATACATACATCTCCATTTTCTACTGGCAATGCATAGGATAGAGTGAGTGAAGTTTTAAGCCACTTTTAGCAATGTTCCAGCAATAACACGACACCTGACATGGGTTTCACACATTGTACCCACGTAAGGAATCGAATCCGGTTCTCTGGCGTGTCCAGCGAAAACTCCAACGACAAGGCTACCAAACTACAAACGCTTAGGAGAGACGAGTACTTGGTTGCTACGGAATAGGCTGAACAGTTTCCCGTTCCTCAAAGTGATCGTAGCGCTACGACAGTCGTAAGTCAGTGTTAAAGTATGGGAATTACGACAGCCGTAAATCTATGTTAAAGTATGGGAATTACGACAGCCGTAAATCTATGTTAAAGTATGGGAATTACGACAGTCGTAAGCCTATGTTGAAGTATGTGAATTACGACAGTCGTAAGTCTATGTTAAAGTATGGGAGTTACGACAGCCGTAAATCTATGTTAAAGTATGGGAATTACGACAGCCGTAAATCTATGTATGGGAATTACGACAGTCGTAAATCTATGTTAAAGTATGGGAATTACGACAGTCGTAAGTCTATGTTAAAGTATGGGAATTACGACAGCCGTAAATCTATGTTAAAGTATGGGAATTAAGACAGCCCTAAATCTATGTTAAAGTATGGGAATTACGACAGTCGTAAGTCTATGTTAAAGTATGGGAATTACGACAGCCCTAAGTCTATGTTAAAGTATGGGAATTACGACAGCCGTAAATCTATGTTAAAGTATGGGAATTACGACAGCCGTAAATCTATGTTAAAGTATGGGAATTACGTCAGTCGCAAGTCTATGTTAAAGTATGGGAATTACTACAGCCGTAAATCTATGTTAAAGTATGGGAATTACGACAGTCGTAAGTCTATGTTAAAGTATGGGAGTTACGACAGCCGTAAATCTATGTTAAAGTATGGGAATTACGACAGTCGTAAGTCTATGTTAAAGTATGGGAATTACGACAGCCGTAAATCTATGTTAAAATATGGGAATTACGACAGTCGTAAGTCTATGTTAAAGTATGGGAATTACGACAGCCGTAAATCTATGTTAAAGTATGGGAATTACGACAGCCGTAAATCTATGTTAAAGTATGGGAATTACGTCAGTCGCAAGTCTATGTTAAAGTATGGGAATTACGACAGCCGTAAATCTATGTTAAAGTATGGGAATTACGATCACCTTAGTGCTAAGATCGTTTTGTGGAACGGCACCCAGATCTGTTGACGGCAATACGTCTGCTATGGACCCTGCT